AATTTAGCATTTTTTTTTTTTTTTTTGTTTAAAAAAAATGGAGAGGATGTAGCTCAGGGCAAAGGTTATATCTCAGTACTACAAAAACAAACAAATCAACAAAACAAAGAGACCAGTGGTCCTCAAAGTTTGATTCTTTTTTTTTTGTTGTTGTTGGTACTGGGGATCGAGCTCGGGTCCTTGCACTTGTGAGGCAGGCACCGGAACCACTGAGCCCCCGGCCCAAAGTTTGATTCTTGAGCTAGTACCACAAACACCACCTGAGGACTTGTTAAACACAAAATTCTAGGTTCCATCACAGATCAACTAAATCGGAATCTTTGGGGGTGGGATTCAGCAATTTTGTTTTAAGATGTTTTCTAGCTGACTCAAGATGCCTCCAACCATTTGACAATCACTAGCCTACCTATCATTTTACAGATAAGGAAACTGAATTCAAGGTCACACACAGTAGATCAATGACAGATCCTTTGACTTTTAGGAATAGCTGTTCTGGTTGACCTGGAATTTTTTATGATTTTGCTTTTTCTCTTCAACTTCACACATTTTGTCTCAGGAGTCCAACAGAGTCAGACATTTAGCTTTGTTAACAAAGAGATGCTAAAAGGCTACGAGTCTTCTGTTCTAGACAAGGACCAAGCTCCTGGGTGAAGAGTAAGGCAGACCAAATCAACTGTCTATTTGGCTAAATTAGTTCTTTTAGATACACTGTCCTCTGTCAGGTGGTGGTGTATGTGCACTACATAACTTTTCTTACTTTTCAAGGTCCAGGTCAAATAATAGCTTTCCCAGTATCTGAGCTAAGCTCTCCCCAGTTCCTATGCAAGTACTGTCCCTTCTCCCCTTGGATTCCTACAGCTTTTTTGTTTATTTGCTTTTGATGGTCCTTGAACCCAAGGTGAGCACACACTCTATATTCTACCACTGAGCTACACTGTTAGCCTCTTGTCTGACTCTTTAGTTTAGTATCAGACTGCCTTGAATTACAGATATTTAAGCACGTATTTAATAATATCATCAATATGCTACACCACCTATGTTATTCCACAATCACTACAATTTTATTAGGGTTACAGTCCCCACTTGGCTGGAGTATAGTGATAGAACACTTGCCTAGCATGCATAAGACCCTGGGTTTAATCCCCAGCATTATACACTCACAGATTTATAATGTATATATGTAAATTATTAACTAAGTTACATTCATAGTATCTTGGACTTAGCTTCTGGATAACTGAGACTATGCATCTCTGTGTTCCTCTGTGAAAGAGAATGATGATGTAGGGCTCTGCAGTCAAGAGCCCCAGTTTCCTCAACATGCATTGCTTTAACTACAGATATTTTACTAATCACTCTGAGTCTTAAGTTTCCTCATCTAGAAAATAAGGATAAAAATATTTATGAGTTACTGTGAAGACTAAATATAATACATGAAAAATAAAGATGGTCAATAAATAGTAGTGGTAGTACTAGTATCAGCACCAAAAACAGTGCCTGGCATTATATTGTATTATGTACAGTGGACCTGTTATGACCAGCTTGACATACAAACAACTTGGATTAATTAGGTTAATGGAAGATTCATCAGCCTCTTGTTATCTATAGCATGTACCCAGGTAAATATCCAGATCTCAGCCGTGCTGACTTACAACCAACATGAGCTATAACCAGCTCTCAGGAACTGACTGACTTCGTTAAGTCTAGGATCCACTGTATTGGAATGAAAAATAGTTGCTCAATAAAGGCAATTTTTTGGGTAGGTACTGGGGATGAACTGGGGTCCTTGTGCTTGCAAGACAGACGGTGGCATCACTGAGCTAAATCCCTGGCCCAATAAAGGCAATTTTAAAAAAGTTCTTATTTTCTTTATACTGATATAAAATAATATAAGAAAGGGCTAGGAATTTAGCTCAGTGGTGCCACAGCCTGCTTCGCAAGCTCAAGGTTTTGAGTTCTATCCCCAGTATAAAAACAAAGACAAAAACAATAACCAAAATAAACATTATCAAATCCTAAATACAGAATACATATGTATATTATAGTTAAATTACATATTCTTACTCTAAGATATTTAAAAATGTAGAGTTACTGTTTTTCTAAATGTGGAATTATTATTAAGAACAGTGACACATGAGTACAGATATGGATGTTGGAAAGAACAGACTATCTGAAATTAAGTTTAAGCTTAAATCCTGGTTCTGCTACTGACAGCTGTCTGGCATCTAGGCCTTACTGTCCTCATTTGTAAGTAAAAGATATAATAGTTACTTCATAAAGTTTAGCTGAGAATTAAATGACAAAACATCTGTAACTCTCCTTGCTGGCACTTCATCAATGACAGCCATTAGTATTTTTGTTGTCTTGAGTTTAACATGGATATAGAAAGAGGTGATTATGGTAATTAAATAAAATACGACAAGATTGCCAGCCCAGTACCTTTCCTTTATGAACAAAGCTTTTCCAATAAAGTGTTTACTTTTCCAAGGTAAAAGTTAATTCAGAACAAAGGTTTCCAAGGTTAATTCAGAACAAAGACAAATTCAGAATTTTATATTTCAACTCATTTAATATTCTGAGCTACAGATAAAAAAAATTTACTGAATCTACTTCTTTTCCAATCAAATCTTGAAGCAAATGAATACTAGGAATACAGGAGATAAGGCACTATAAAAGACAGGAATGTGAAGAGCAACTGTATTTGGATATATTTCCTCAGACCAATTTATCTAAAGCAGTATAGACCATCCCTTCCCCCATCACTCTTCCAACTCCATAACCTGCTTTACTTTTTTTATAGGACTTGCTATGACGACCAATTTACATGTTTATGCAGTTATTATTTGTCTTTTCTACTAGAACAGAGCATCTTGGGGAACGAACTTGGTCTATTTCAATCACAACTGTATCCAAATGCCTAGAGTAGAACTGGCACTAAATATTTGTGTGGTGACTATCAGGAGTTAATTCCTGGTGAGAAAAACGGAATTTGTAGTCAACCACTTGGGTTTAAAGCTGGCAAATGTCAGATACTGGTGTACTACTACTGAAAAATGCTTGTGTTTAAGTTAGCATTGTTCCTCTGTAATTGCAACTTTTTTATTTTTTTTCCTGAGCTGGAGAAGTGATCATTTTTTTTAGATCATGCAAACAATTTTATACAACAATAATAAAGATTTTTTTCCTCATTTGTGTTAGCACAGAGGTATCATTTACTGTTTCTGATACAAAAGAAAATGAGCTCACTATCTTAGAGCTTCATATTTACATACTGTCATATATTTACTATGCCAAATTTATGTGATAATTTTATGAATAATTGAAACTGCTATTTTTTTCTAATAAGACAAAGGCCCAGAAACCAATGTGATTTGAAGGTGAAGCACTAATTTACAAACTAATATTTCACTGAAAAATAAATACTAACATAACATTGTAAGTTCTCAGTTGTGCAGAGAGAAAAAATAATGAATTCTTTGGCTTTAGGTAAAACTCAAAGCTACTCACCTCTACTGAGTTTCTGATGCTATGATTGAACAGAAAGTTATTTTTAAAAATTACATATATTTTTCCTCTAGAAATGTTACATTAGAATAGTATGTTGGCTGTCAGATGTTTGGGTATAATTCAAAACCTCAAATGGTGGGATGTAAAGGGGTACAAACAACATGCTATGGTACAGTCACTGTAGAAAGTTTGACAGTTACTCCAAGAGTTGCCAATATGACTCAGCAATTTCACTCCAAGAGAAGTACAAGCACATGTCTACAACCAAATGTTCATTAGCAGTATTATTTCATAAAAGGTAGAAATCCAAACTGCTAATCTAGAGATGAGTGAATAAGTAAACTGTGGTACATCCATACAATTGGAATAT